AGAGCTCCATTTTGGAGAAACAGGAGGAATCTGAAGCAGTTTATCAGAGTTAACTCAGAGACGGTTTACCTGGTTCTGGTTCACAGTGTGGCAGCTGCAGTTCACTGATGCAGTCCTGAGGGCACTGGATGCTGAACAGAGGTCCACCAGGCTGTTTATTAGATAGCTGCAGGAGCATGTCGTCCCAAATCTGAGTCCTGTACATCACTTCCCCTTTATGGGTCACTCTGAACACCAGGCCAGTCAGAGAACATCGATACAGACCTGAGCCATGAAACTGGAAACTGAAACGTAAAAAAGGGATTGTTGACAATATGCCAAAAAAAAACTTTCTCATCTTGCTTTCTGGACCTATTGGACCGTATTGGTCGACTTGTATTCAATATCCTGGCCGACTGTATGGGGGTGTGTGCATGACGAAGATAACAAGCTAAACATGTGTGAGTCAAAACACATCATTTTCCAACATTTTGAAAGCCAATTTCTGCACATAATTACCAATCTGAGCACACAATGAAACAAGGATGGTATGGCAAGTGCCAAAATGTACATCTTTCACAACAAATTTGGTTAGAATCTCATAAAGAAAACATAGTTTATAGCAACATTAAAAGAGCTCTCGTAAAATGCTAAAAAAAAAGAGACTTTTTTCAGGTGATTAAAAATTGCTTTTCATGCTTGCTGGCATTCAGTTTCCTAATAAAAAGTTTTTTTTCCCCCATCAAATAAAGCAGAACCTAGTCTTACAAATCTTTATCAAGTCAATCAAGGACTGATTCTTCCCTCACCCATACCTGATCATAAAGCCATTCATATCATTATCCCTTTAACACCTATTTCCAACATTTTCCTACTTGAAACTCAATAGCAGCTTTCCTAAACACAAGGAGGGCTTTGTCCTGATCTTGGCGCTGATGACTCCCAATCCGCAATTTTTAAATAAACACTTTTTTTCAGCTATCTGACCGTCCGTCTTGCCTTGAATACTAGGTCCTTTGTTCTGAGCCTTGACAGAATAATCTGACCAAACATGGACTCCTAAGCAGACAGACAGGGACATTTGGAAAAGAAGAATGTATAACTGAGCTCGAATCAGGCATGCAGGAAATCCTGAGACATTTGCTTTTCAGCCTAATCCCACATTTCCACCTGTGACAGCTTCCGCACCTACGTCTCCTGAACTGTTTAGAGGTGATTCTGATCAGTGTCGGGCTTTCCGACCCAATGAGAAATTAATTTAAAGCTTTAGCCGTCTGCGTTTCCCCCTGATAGGGCTAAGAGAACCTATGAATTCCACTATTAGCTGCAGTAAGCACCCCAGTACTCCCTCTGCCACTCCATCACACATCCACACAAGTTTTGGGGGAGGGGGTCGTTACTGGACGGCCCCACCTTCTGATGATGTCCCCCACCTCAATTTTATTTAGCATTTTAGACACTTCCATCTACAACATTTTCACAACACACATCTATACAGGGCATTGTATGGGGGGTGGGGGTCAAGGGCACCCGGGGGGGACTTCTTTCATAGGCCTCCCCACGGTCTGCTACTTAATCCCCTCTTGCATTTAGACATTGAGGGTGGACTGTGCTGGACCCCCCCTTTTAGTACTCCCAGTTTTAACTACTCCTGAGAGCAACACGCAACAACACCACATTCGAGCAGTCGTAGGGAGGATTGGGGTGTTCTCACAACCCTTTTCCCCGGGTGCCGCCCGGAGTCTGGGGACTGGAGGAAGAGTGAGCCGCCTGGTCCGTGGTCTTGGCAGGGGGCTGCTGTGGGGCCTGGGTTGCCTGCCGGTGGCGGGGCTGTCACTTCTGCTCTCCTCAAAGAAGGTTGGAGGGAGGGGCGTGTAGTGGCTGGGTGAATTAGTTGGGGGGCTCTGGTTGGGTGGCCTGTGCGTGGCATGTGNGTTGGGGGGCTCTGGTTGGGTGGCCTGTGCGTGGCATGTGGGCCCCGATCCCGGGGGAGCTTTTGCTGGGGGGGGTCTTGTCAGGGTGTGGGGTGGGGGGCCGGGCGCGAAGCAGGAACGAGATGGGTTGGTGTGGCAGTGCCACCGACCCCCTCCACCCCATCCGGATTTTAGGTCAACTTATTGGGTTATCCGATAATCCCGGGACTGACCACCGGTGTCGCTGGGTCTTTGGTACTGGTATCATTGGATGTGAGTGTTATGTGTGAATGTGCATCCACCAAGTAAGGAAGTATGGAAAGTCTCTCCTCCTCCCTTGGTCGGGGTCTGATTTCCTGGGCTGGCCCCTCCTTGGTTCCTTCGCTCTTGGGGTCACTTTGGGTATCTGGGGCTTTGGATCTCCCGGCACTGGACTCAGTACTCTGGGGGGGCACCTCTTCGGCTCCCCACAACCACTATTGAGCATTTTTTCTTTGGATAAACTTTACAGGCACAAGTGCACTCTCACAAATAACAACGGGAGCTTGGTTCCAGGTTTCTTAGAGATTCACTTCCATACAGAAAACCCATATTCTAATCTTCATGTAACACAGAGTACATGTCAGATTAAATAATACTACCTCAGCGATAGTATCTCGGTGTTACTTTATTGTATGTCTCGTACCATGTCTGTTGGTTGTGCTGTTGTTTTTACATCTCTTTGGAGGTGATGAAGCAGACTGAAAATGGGTTTTCATTATTTCTCTTTTATATCCTCTTTCTCTCATCTTTTGTCCTTTTTTTCTGTTTTTCCTCTTCTGTTCTATTTACATTGCAGTGTCCATATAATCTGTAAAACTCCCTGCATAATTATAATAAAGCAATAAAAAAAAAGAAGAAAGTTAAAGGTATAGGCTATAAGACCATCTTAAAGCAGCTTGACGTTCCTGTGACTGTAGTTGCACATTACTATAAATGTAACATCTTTGAGAGTTTAGCCATCCTCCCTGGACATGGCAGCAGGAGGGGAATAAATTAATAAGATGGATAATAGGTATGGTAACAAAAGAGCCTTGAAAAACTTCTAAAAGGATTAAAGGTGAACTTCAAGCTCAAGGACCATCAGAGTCAGACCATCATCTTTAGTTGTTTGCGCCAAATTGGACTCAATGGGAGATGGCCAAGGAGGACCCCATTGTTAAAAAGGAAAAAAAAAAACGAGAAAAACTAAAGAATTTGCCAAACTACATGTTGAAAAACCATAAAGTTGCTGGGGGAAATTTCTGTGGATTGATGTGACAAAAAGGGTCCTTTTTTGCCACGGCACATAGGCCAATGTTCAGAGATAGAAAAATGAAGAATATAAAGAAAATAAGACTGTCCCTATTTAAAAACACGGAGGAGGCTATGTTATGCTCTGGGGCTGCTTTGCATAATCTGGCAGAGGGAGTCTGAATTTCTTCCAATATTCTAAAGACTATCAAGGGATTGTAGAGAGAATTATTTTGCCCTCTGTCAGAAAGCTTGGTCCCAGTCGCAGCTAATGGGTCTTCAACAAGATAATAAACACACAGCTAGAAGCAGCCAAGGCTGGCCAAGGGGAAAACATTGCAACTCCTCTGAAGTGGTCTTATCTGAAACCTGAACTAAATCCTATTGAGAATCTTTGAATGGAGCAGAAACAGGCTTTCTGTAAAAGGCAGCCTTCATACCTGAGAGAACTGGAGCTGTTCTCTTACAAGGAATGAACATGCGGAGAGGTTAAGATGTCTCATTGACAGTCACAGGTATCAGTGAATTTACTGGGATTCAATTTCTTTGTGTGATTTTGAGGGGTTTTCTATCACTAAATGATGGAAGAACACATGTCAGAATTATTCACTTTCTTGTCAGTCTAGAAAAGTATGTAGACTTTTTCAAGTTTGTCCACTGAATTAAATTTGATGTTATTTCCTTTGTTCATTCAATTGAATCATTGTCCTCTGTAAAAAGGTTTGTAGGACGCCTAAAATATTGATAAAACGATATTTTAAATTGTAGATCATTGAATTCATCAACAGATGCAGAAGTGCATGTCTTACTGTACCTGTAAGAGATACCAATTCTCTCTCTGCTGACCTCAGGCGTGAAGCCCAATGGAACCTTGAACAGAGGACAGTCAATATGAGGAAACATCTCCATTATTCACAGCTTTAGTTTGGGTTCTATGTAACAACCAGAAAGACTCACATGATCCATTTCCAGCTTTTCAACAGCTGGCAGGGTAAGAGAACCAAAAGGAACACTGAATACAGGGTAAACAGGCTCAGTAAAAGTTGAGTGGAACGTGTGAAGCAGAGTCCTTGTGTCATCAGAGAGCCAATAGAAACACAGAATGCCAGCAGTTGAGTCCAGAAATATGCCCAGTCTCATGGGTCGGGCCAGGAATTTAACATCAATAAATGGGAGTGGAAGGAAGACAGCCTGATGTCTGTGTTGAAATGAGAAACCACTTGATGAATAATTATAAAATAACCAGGTTTCATCACTCCTTAGTATTTCTGCGTCCCATCCTTTCCTCTTAACATTCCTAAAGGCAACACCAACGTTCACGAAACTTGTTTTCCACTCCACCTCCCAGTAACAGCGTCCAGATAGAGCCTCTCTGCACAGCACCTGACCGCTGCATTCAAACCTGTCAGGATGATCAGGATAAGTTTGCTTCTCCTTTGTTAAAGTAACTTGTCTCCCACATTCAGACAGGATAAGGTGTTCACTGGCTGTATTGATGTCAAAGGTCAAATTACAGGCATCTAAGAAGGAAAAGACCAGAGTTAAACAGATAAATAATGTCGGATAAGGAAATTACATGTTTAAAAAAACTTACATTTGTTCAGAAGCTGTGGTCTGACCCAGTGTTCTTCATTCTGATCCAGACTGAGAAAACAAAAGCAGGAAAAAGAATAAAAAATTGATTGTTCCAAACCTCAAATGATAGATGTTGGGAATCAATATAAGAAATATAAATCCAAAGTGAATATCTACCCCTCTCATCTTTGTATTAGTATTTTAAATTGTTTGTTTTTATTATGAAAAATAACATTTTAAAGCACAAGTAATGGGTTGTCTAAATTCAGGGATTTTTTGTTTATGTTTAAATCCAAAACAAAGAAAGGAAATTACTTCAGTTTTACCCTTTTCACTTACATTCCCAGCATTAAGAAAAGAAAAAACGGAAAGCAATTAACAAAAATATTAAACCATTGCCAAATGCTTTTAGAAGTTGGGTTTTGAATCAGTAATATATAAATAAACTGAATTAATGTCTAAATGTCAGATGGTATTATAGAAGTTTTTTATGACTATGTTATTTTGTGCAATATTCTGTTAAGCTGTCTTTATTTATAGTAACACCATCATTAGTGTAAAGACTACAGAAAACCAACTTGAGTATTTCCAGTCTGCATTTTGGGTCCTCCAGTCTTTCAAGGAGCACCATCATTCCAGACTCTCCAGGGTAGTTGTATCTGAGGTCCAGCTCTCTTAGATGGGAAGGGTTGGACTTCAGAGCTGAAGCCAAAGAGGCACATCCTTCCGCTGTGATCCCACAGCATACCAGTCTGTAAAAAAGAAAAGGCAAACACAAAAAAACTGATTAAACTGCTAGCAAGCTACTTCTAGAATGTCTCTGGGACTCAAAGGCATCTGCATGCCAGCAATGAAACCCTCTCATTAAGACTTTACTGCAATATCATTAAGATACCTCCTAGGATGATGGTAGTCAAAAAGGCAGTATGTACCACCCACAGTGCCACTTATTCACTAATTAATAGTTCAACTACATGGAAAAAACACAGTAATTTTAACAATAGCTGCTGATCTAACTAAAAATATCAGATCTGCAATATTAGTCTGAAGTATTTGTAAACTTTGTTCATGTCTTACCCGCTAATACTGGAAGCATGTTGACAGTGATTGGCCATGTTAAGGTTTGGCCACACTTCATTAGGATGCCTTCTTTATAACCTTGGATGCACTGCATCTATCCTCCTACCTGAGTGATCAGGTGAACGCTCAGCTCCTCTTTTCACTCTAATGTTCAAAACATGTGGTTGCAATCAGATCAAAATTTCTAAATAAATTAACCCACACTAGAAGTGTCTGTTCACCTAGTTCAATAATTTGTTTGTTAGGAAAAAAGTTTGCATTATAAATTGATAATGAGGAGTACTTAGGTCTGTATCACTTTGGGTTGGGCAATCCTGTCCAACAATATTTAGTTTGTTTTATTGCTATGACAGACGGTGAATCCGTTTGCCAAGTGAAGTTTTTTTTAGTAAGATTCCATCCAAGGAGTCAATGAGGACCTGCTTTGATGCACATGGGACAGAACCTCTTTCACCACCCAATGTCATCCATCCTCTTATCTACCTGCACAAATTGCATCAAATGTTCATCAGAAAAAGAAAGTTATCAGTAAGTTGGTCTCAGCTCAACAAAACTACCTCAGGGAAACTTTAAAGCTGAACTGATTGTGTTTTTAGGAAGTTTCTTGCAGAGATAGTGATATAAGATATTGGATTGATGTTACACAGCAATCGCTCAATCTCTCCAACCCACTCTAAAGTAATTCCGTAAAAATTCAAAAAATATCCACTGGACTTGGTTTTCAAGATTTGAAGACGTTTAGCCACCTCTCCAGGAAGCTTTCTCAATTCAAATGTCT